AGAAAAAATGGATTTCTAGCTGAAGAACTTTCTTAAAGGGCATGTTTTGATCAAAATCAATTAAGATTTTTACTTAAAAATAGGCAAAAAAATGTCAAAAATAATGTTATTTTCAACGAAATTTGGTCATTCTTTGCCAAAATTTTGCGAAATTTAAAAAAAACAGCTTTTAACACAAAAACATGTTAAACTTTTTAAAAAGTGCACTAACTTGGTGTTTTTTAAAAAATAAAATAAGAAAAAATAGGATTTTAGGTTTTCAAACTAAACTTGAAACTAAAACTAAAACTTGAAAATAGATAGAAATAATAGATTTTGTGCCTAATTAAGTTTTGGGCATTTTTGGCATTTTCTAAATTAAAAAAAATCAGCTTCTAACTTAATAACTTCCTAAACGCTTTAAAAGGTGCACTAACTTGATTGTTTTTTGTTTGTAAATAAAAATTTTTGAAAAAAAGTAGGTTTTTAGGTCCCCAGACTAAATCTAGACCAAAATAGAACGGTAATTTAAATCTAGTTTAGTGATTTTGTGGCTTAGTTTAACATAATTTTACAAAAAAAATAAGTTTTTAGCTTAAAAACATGTTGTTGCTCCTAAAAATGTCGAAAGTAGAATTTTCGATTTAATTTGCTAATTTTTGGGCTTTTTTGAGCAAAAGTTTTACTGAAATGGTTCAAAAATAATTGAAACGGCAAAAAGATTATCATTTTTGCCTCAATTTAGTAAGTTTTGGTCTGTTTTTGAGAAAAAACTTAGTTTATTAGGTCAAAAATATATTTAACTGGCAAAAAAAACACAATTTTTATTAATTTTTCGACTGGTTTGGACAAAATTTTGCAAAAAAATGCATTTCTAGCTGAAGAACTTTCTTAAACCCTTGAGGAAGTGAAAAATAACATAATTTTCGATTTAATTTAGTGATTTTTTATCTTGTCTTGAAGTCTTATTCAAAGTTTGAGTTTTTATTTTTAAAACGTTTAAAGCAAAAATTTTCGACCAAATTTGTCAATTTTTTTTTAAAAAAAAACACAACAAAACAACTGTAACATAAATTTTAAAATGATTTTACTTAAAAAAGGTAAGTTGTATCGAAAAAACGCAAGAAACCCATTTTTTGTGAAAAACTATGGAATTTAGAATTTTGTTGCAAAAATAGAGTACTTTTTATCCCAACACTCAATTTAAAAAAATATACCATTTTCAACTTAATTTGCTAATTTTTTGGCTCATTTGAGTAAAATTTTTCTTGAAAAAAGCAAAGATAATGTCGCTTTCGACCCCTAATTTGCCTATATTAGCAAAATTTTTTGAAAAAATTAGTTTTTGCTCAAAAACGTTTTTATTTGCTTGAAAATAGGTGGAAATAATATAATTCTTTGCCTAATATATTTTTGGGCATGTTTTGATCAAAAACAATTAAAGTCTTTATTCAAAAAATTGGAAAAAACACCATTTTGTATCTAATTAGAAAATTTCTCGGCTTGCTTGAGCAAAATGTCACAAAAAAAGAGTGCATTTTTAACTGAAAAAGTCAAAAATAATGTCATTTTCGACCAAATTTGGTAATTTTGTTTGCCAAAATTGTGCAAAATTAAAAAAAACAGCTTTTAACTCAAATTTTTCGACTAGTTTTCACAAAATTTTGCAAAAAAAATGCATTTCTACCTCAGAACTTTCTTAAACGCTTGAGAAAGTGAAAAATAACACATCATTTTTGATTTAATTTCGTGATTTTTTATCTTGTCTTGAAGTCTTATTCAAAATTTGAGTTTTTAACTTTAAAACGTTAAAAAAAGCAAAAATTGTATGATTTTCGACTAAAGTTGTCAATTTTTTTTTGAAAAAAAAACAACAAAACAAGTGTAACATAAATTTTAAAATAATTTTTCTTAAAAAGTATAAATTGTATGGAAAAAACGCATGAAAACTTCATCCAAAATAGTAAGAAATAAAAAAAAACTAAAAACGCTTTAAAAGATGCACTAACTGTGGTTTTTTGAGTGTAAATGATTTTTTTTTTTTGAAACGGCAAAAAGATTATTATTTTTGCTTTAATTTGGTAGGTTTTGGACTGTTATTTAGAAAAAACTCAAAAATATATTTAACTGCTTAAAAAAGTAAAAAAGGCACAATCTTTATCAATTTTTTGAATGGTTTGGACAAAATTTTTGCAGAAAAAATGGATTTCTAGCTGAAGAACTTTCTTAAACGCTTGAGAAAGTGAAAAATAACATCATTTTCGATTTAAGTTCGTGATTTTTTATCTAGTCTTGAAGTCTCATTCAAAATTTGAGTTTTTGTCTTTAAAACGTTCAAAAATGCATAAATATTATGATTTTCGAAAAAATTTGTCAATTTTTTTTGAAAAAAAACACAACAAAACAAGTATAACATAAAGTTTAACATGATTTTACTTAAAAAGGATAGAATTTTGTTGCTGAAAGTGAGAAGAAACTTCAGCCAAAAAAGTTAGAATTTTTTTTCGGATCAATTTCAGACGATGTTTTCACATTTGTTAATTATTTTGTAAATTTTACCTGTGGGATCAGCGAGAGAATCCTGATCTTCACCTTGAGCAATATGGTATTTCCTATACCGGAATAAATATTGCGCCCCCAACAAAGCCGTTGCGATCAACAAGCCGCTGAGAAAAAAAATCGCAGCGATATGAACCGCTGTCATTTTCAACACCACGGCTGGAACCACTCCAACACTTTGAGCTATTGGCACCCCAGACACGTTTAATTTTCCTGAAAATTCACAAACAACATTTCAGAAATTTTTCAGATTTTTTTCAGAAATTCAGGACATACTTATCTGACTGGCGTGTGCCAAAAACCCTCCTCCGCAAATTTGTCCTCCAACAGCGATTTCTTCGGAGAAAAACTCGAGCAATAAATTCGCTCCTGTCGAATTGACGACAGATGGTGTGGTTTCAGGAGCTCCGGATAAATCAGCGAGTAAATTCGCTGAAAGGGAGCTGCCATCTCTCACTTTCAGCCATTGAGTGCCACAAGGTAGATGAAATTGCTCGACTTTGAACTGGATTATGAACTCGTCGTCCGCCTGAAATAATCGTTTCAGGATTGGGGGAAAAACGCTGTTTCAGTACCTGAATTAACCAGAAGGTTCTCCCGGGACAACTTTGGGACGAAGTTGCCAACAAACGCTTGGGTTTGGCTCGCCCGAGATGGACTACACAGCCACATCGGCAGTATGGACCCACTTCGGCCTGAATTTCAGGCATTTCAGCCGCGATATCACTTGCTGAAATACCACTTCCATAAAAACATTCCCAGTTTTTGCCCATGCTCTTCCCACATTTTTCAGTCTCCACGGCTTGGCCCTACATGAAAAGGGGCTTTTAATTGAGTCAGGATAAGAAAATCTACCATAAAAAAAATTTATTGAAAAAAAGCCAAATAATCATCTAGATTGTTCAGTTGTTTCAGCAGAGCTTTTAGGGATTTCTTCAATTTCAGGAATCGCGACTATTTTAAGATTTAAAAAAAACTCAATTTTCTACCTAATTATGAAATTTTTCAGCTTACTTGAGCAAAACGTCGCAAAGAAAAGCTGCATTTTTAACTGAAAAAGTCAAAAATATTCTTATTTTCGACCAAATTTGGTATTTTTTGCCAAAATTGTGCAAAATTTAAAAAAAAAAACAGATTTTAACTCAAAAACGTTAAATAATTTTTTTTGAAAAAAAAAATGTTTCAAGATCTCCAAACTAAATACAGTAAAACAGACCAAAATAGAGCGGTAATTTGAATCTAGTTTAGTGGTTTTGTGGCTTAGTTTAACACAATTAAAAAAAAAGTAGTTTTTAGCTGAAAAACATGCTTTTGTTCTTAAAAATGTCAAAAGAAGCACAATTTTCAATTTGATTTGGTAATTTTTCGGCATGTTTTGATCAGAAACAATTAAGATTTTTACTCAAACATGGGCACAAACACCATCTTCTTTCTAATTACTTGAGTAAAATGTCGCAAAGGAAAACTGAATTTTTAACTGAAAAACTCAAAAATAATGTTATTTTCGACCAAATTTTTTGCTAAAATTTGCAAAATCTAAGAAACCAGCTTCAACTCAAAAATATGTTAAACGCTTTAAAAAACTGTGGTTTTTTGCTTGTAAATGTTGTTTTTGAAAAAAAATAGGTTTCAAGATTCCCAAACTAAATCCAGTAAAACAGAACGGTAATTTGTATCTAGTTTGTGATTTTGTAGATTAGTTTAACACAATTTTACAAAAAAAAAAGGTTTTTAGCTCAAAAACATGCTTTTGCTCTTAAAAATGTCAAAAATAGTACAATTTTCAATTTGATTGGGTAATTTTTGGACTTTTTTGAGCAAAATTTGTTACTAAAAGAATTTACAAATAATTGAAACGGCAAAAAGATTATTATTTTTGCCTTAATTTGGTAGGTTTTGGACTGTTTTTGAGAAAAAACTCTGTTTATTAACTCAAAAACATATTTAACTGCTTAAAAAGACAAAAAAAGCATATTTTTTTAAATTTTTTAATTGGTTTGGACAAAACTTTGCAAAAAAATGCATTTCTAGCTGAAGAACTTTCTTAAACGCATGAGTAAGTGAAAAATAACATTATTTTCGATTTAATTTCGTGATTTTTTATCTTGTCATTCAAAATATGAGTTTTTATCTTTAAAACGTTCAAAAAAGCAAAAATATTATGATTCCCCAAAAAAATTTTTTTTTGGAAAAAAACACAACATTACAATAAAAGAAACTACCATAAAGAATTTTTTTATTAAAAAAAGCCAAATAGTCAAGTAGATTGTTCAGTTGTTTCAGCAGAGCTCTGAGGGGTTTCTTCAATTTCAGGAATGGCCATTTCTGCAGTTTCCCCAATCGACATTCAAATTTTTTAGTAGACGTCAAAGCTTCGCGACTAGTTTAAGATTTACTAGATTAAAATTTTTACTTAAATATAAACAAAAAACACCATTTTGTATCTAATTATGAGATTTCTCGGCTTACTTGAGCAAAATGTCGCAAAGGAGAACTGAATTCTCAACTAGAAAAGTCAAAAATGATGTTATTTTCGACCAAATTTGGTAATTTTTTTGACAAAATTGTGCAAAATAAAAAAAAACAGCTTTTAACACAAAAATATGTTAAACGCTTTAAGAGATGCACTAACTGTGGTTTTTAGCTTGTAAATAATTTTTTTTTGAAAAAAAATAGGTTTCAAGATCCCCATACTAAATCCATTAAAATAGACCAAAATAGAACGGTAATTTGAATCTAGTTTAGTGATTTTGTGTCGTAGTTTAACACAATTTTATAAAAAAAAAGAAGTTTTTAGCTCAAAAACATGTTTTTGCTCTTAAAAATGTCAAAAGTAGTACAAATTTCAATTTGATTTGGTAATTTTTGGGCTTTTTTGAGCAAAATATGTTACTAAAAGGATTTACAAATAATTAAAACGGCCATTTTTGCCATAATTTGGTAAGTTTTGGACTGTTTTTGAGAAAAAACTTAGTTTATTAGCTCAAAAAAATATTTAACTGAAACTGAAAAAGACAAATTTTTATTAATTTTTTGATTGGTTTGAACAAAATTTTGCAAAAAAAATGTATTTCTAACTGAAGAACTTTCTTAAACGCTTGAATAAGTAAAAAATAACATTATTTTCAATTTAATTTCGTGATTTTTTATCTTGTCTAGAAGTCTTATTCAAAATTTGAGTTTTTTAAAACGTTCAAAAAAGCAAAAATATGATTTTCGAAAAAATTTGTCAATTTTATTACAACACATTTATTTGAAAAAAGCCAAATAATCATGTGGATGGTTCAGAAGCAGTTGTTTCAGCAGTTTCTGCTCCACTTTCAGGAATGACCATTTCAGTAGTTTCCCCAATCGACACTCTTCGTAATTTTTCAGTAGACGCCAAAGCTTCGCGACTAGTCTCACCCAAACCTTTTTCTTTGAAAGAAATTCTGCTCCTTGATTTGCTTTTGGTACCAGTACCAGACAATTTCTTCGCAATGGAGGCACTACTTAGTGCACTTTCAACGATTAATTCACTTGCAGTTTTAGTTGCAGCTACTTCACGAGCTTCATCCGATAATTCATCAAACTCTAGCAAAGAATCCTCAACAGCATCCTCCTCTTCATTGAAGAAAACATCACTTTCTTCCTCAACAAACGTTCCTTCGCTCCCTTTAGACTCTTCCTCGGAACTTATCAAAGACGTCTCTTGTTGCACAAGCTCCTCCTCTTTCCCAATCGCTAGAAACTCCTCAAAACTGGGCCCAGTCTGAGCTTGGATGTCTCGAAGAGTGGACAAAGTCGAGCGTCGAGTTAATGGTTTTGGCACAAAACCAAGATCACCTCTTTCGTAGGTTGAAATTGAACCAACAGTGTCCAATGAGGGTTTCCGATCTTTTTTTCCTTCAGCTTCACTCAATAAAATAAAAAGTTGAGTTAGGAGATTTTCCCGTTTTGAGGCTTTCAACGCCTCATCTGACACTCTACTTTTCAACTCCAAAACTTCTTTAATTGATAAAACAGCTTGTGCAAGAACTGTAGTCAATCGATCATTATCAAAATCAAGATTACTTAACTCAGTCTTGAGTGAGGTTTCTCGACATTTCAATGCGTGAATATTTTGTTGTAAAAGCTTGATTTTGTGATTGAGACAAAGCACGTCTTGTTGTGTTTTCAGGAGTTGTTCAGAAGTTTCATGCATTTCTTGCTCAACACTTTGATATTTCATCAATTTTTGTTTCATATCTTCGTGTTCGGTGGTTAATCGTTCGATTAGTTTCAACTGGACTCGGACTTTACTCAAAGCTTTGTTTTTTTCAGCTTCATGAAGTTCAGTTTCTTGTCTTAGGGTGCGATCCCGGTCTTTCATTGTGGCATTTTCAGAGTAGAGTTTCTGGTGTGTGATAAGCATTGCGTCTAGTTCATTATTAATCGCGATATTTTCTCTAATAACCCTGTGTGTGGTTGCAGCAATTCTCAGTTCAGTTGCTTCCTGAAATTCCGATGATAATTGCAGGAGTCGTGCTTCCATATCTTTTTTCAGCTTATCTTTCCCGATGATAAATTTACGTTCAATGTCATACAACTCGTTTTTGTGGCGTTTCTCCTGTTCTTCCATTGCAGTTTCCTGATCCTCAAACTTTTTCATGAGTTCATCCCTTTGAATGCGAAATTCCTCCAATGAGTTTAATTTACCTTCAAGTAACTTAATTTCGCTGGTTAATTGTTCGTGCATTTGCTTGTATTCGGCCTCCAAATCGGCGATTTTTGTCTCATATTTTTCCGTTTCATCTTGACGTGTTTCCTCCAAGGCCCGGAGACGTTCCTGAAGCTCGGCGATTTCATCAGAGCGTTCTTGAAGCATCCGCTTGAGGTAGATGATAATATCGTTGCGATCTTCATCCAATTTGGACAAATTCGTTTGTAATTCTTCATTTTTCTCCTCAAGTTCGGTGGTTAAACTCCTCAAACGGGCCAATTTGCGGTTTAAATCGGTTATGGTCAATTCGTAGAAGGTTTTATCGACTTCGGTTAAGGCATTTGGGTCGATTTTGGGCGCTTTCTTCTTCTTGCCCTTCTTTTTACCTTTCGCCATGGTGGTGGGCACAAAGAACACTAAATGTCACTGTCGGGCATTCGTTGATCGAGGTAGTTATGGTAATATTGATTAAAACTGTTTCTTAGGAAATGCGCATGCAATGAGGGTTTTTTTACTAAGTTACGACACGTTCGTTTTTAAGAGCAATGAAATAAAAAACAGAAACAAATAGAGCATTAAATTCTCAATAATAAGAGTTAAAGGTAAAATTTTATTGAAAACTATATTTAAAAAAAATTAGCAATTTGCGTCTCATATTTTTAAAAATGCTGCAAATATGGTTAAAACTAGAAGAAAAATATAAAAATCTTTCCTTATCCTAAATTTATTCTTATTTAGTGTTGGAAATCCGAGTAGCAAACCTAACCGATTTTTACCAATTGTTTCGTGCTACGTCCCCTTGCTACAAGTAACTTACATACCAAATTCGTTCGAAAGTATAAAAGAAAGTAGTAGAGATTCAAATTTCCAAGAAAAAAGTCTATCTTTAATGGTTTAGGTCATTTTTACCGGTGGTCAAGAGACAAGAAATTAATTTAAACCTAAACGGTTGAAGGTAGAAATAAGGTCTCGGGAACTTTTTTGTAGAAAATTTAATTCTCTACAACTTTGTCCCCTACACTTTTTTTATATCTTCAACCGTATTCGCAGTGTTTTCAAAAATATCGAAAACAATATTAAAAAAAAAATTGCGTTTCGACCAATATTTTTGAGAACAATGCGAATACGGTTGAAGATACAAAAAAAGTGTAAGAACCAAAATTGTAGCGAATAAAATTTGCTACAAAAAAGTCCCCAATGCCATATTTCTATCTTCAACGGTTTAAGTTTAAATTGCTTCAAAGTGTTCCTCCGGCAATGAAAATTGCAAAAATTAAATGAGAAATGCGTTATTTCGGTTTATTTTTCAAAATTAGAGTATTTTATACCATACCACAAAATTACAAAATTAAAACAAAAATGCATTATTTGTAAATTTAAGTGTTTTTCAACAAAAAAATTCGTGCCTGACATGACCTGTAAAGTAAAAACTTTAATTTAATTTTTTTAATTTAACAAATTGTTTAACGCATTTTTGAGCGAAAAAATTAATAAATGCAAAAACATTGTCAAAGTAAGATGTAAAATTGCAAAATTAGAACAAAAATGTGTTGAATTTGAAAGCGTTTTTCACAGAAAAACTCATAATTTGGTAAATTTTGCAAAACATATTGGGAATTTACAAAATTAGCTTTAAGACGCCACTAACAAATGAGAAAAAAATTGCAAAATTAAATCTGAAAATGTGTTATTTTTGGCTGTTTTAATAAATTTAGAGCGTAAAATTGCTGAAATATATTTTGAAGAATTTTTAGTGGAATTTTTATAAAATTTTAAAAATTTTACTAAAATAAGACAGAAAATTGCAAAATTTATTCTAAAATGTTACTATTTTTCGCTTATTTCGATAAATTTTGCGCATTTTTACTGAGAATAATTTCAAAATAATTGACAAAATAAAGTAACAATATTGGAAAAGTAGATTTCATTTATGTTTATTTATGGGATAAGGAAAGAAAAAAAAAAGTTGTAAAAAGTAAAATTTTCAAGAAAAAAGTTCGCGAGAGATACCATCTTCCATGAAGAGACAAAAAATTAATTTAAACCACAACGGTTGAAGATAGAGATATGACCTCGGGGACTTTTTTGTAGAAAATTTAATTTTCTACAACTTTGTCCCCTACACTTTTTTTATATCTTTAACCGTATTCGCAGTGTTCTCAAAAATATCGAAAACAATATTAGAAAAAAAATTACGTTTTGCCAAATATTTTTGAGAACACTGCGAATACGGTTAAAGATACAAAAAAAGTGTAAGGAACAAAATTGTAGAAAAAGAAATTTGCTACAAAAAAGTCCCCAAGACCATATTTCTATCTTCAAACGGTATAAGTTTAAATTGCCTTGAAGTGTTCCTCTGGCACTGAATCACCAGTAAAAATGAAACGAATCTGTCGTTTGGGCGGCTTTAAACGTCTTTGGGGCCTAAACCATTAAAGATAGAGATATAGTCTCGGGTGCCTTTTTACTAGAAAATTTTATTCTCTACAACTTTCTTTCTTACATTTTTCTTATATCTTCAACCGTATTCGCAGCATTTTGAAAAACATATAACGGAGCACAGATTTTAAATTTGAAATATTTTTCTTCTCATATTTCTCGTGAAAAATTTAGTCATTCGTTTTTCACAGCTTATTAAAAATGTAAAGCTCGACATTTTTTGCATTTTTTTCCAAGCAATGAGTACACTGGTACTAAAATTTAAAAAAATTTGCCAAACAAGACAAAAAATTGCAAAATTTGTTTTAAAGTGTGACTATTTTTGTTTATTTTCATAAAACAAAGTAACAATATTGCCAAAGTAGATTAAAATTATGTTTATTATGTATGAACAATTTTTTTGTAATTTAGAATTAAAAAAATTGAATATGCGTCATTTTTGTTTATTTATGGAATTTATAGTATTTTATACCAAATTACAAAATTGCAAAATTAGGTTAAAATGCATTATTTTCGAAAATTTAGAAGTTTATTAACAAAAAATAAAAAAAATCGGCCAATTTTGCTTAATAAAAAAAGTAAAAACATACAATAAAACATCTATGTTTGTTTTATGCAATTTTTTTCTTATATTTTGTGAATTTAAGGCATTTTTTACCAAAAAAGTTAATGAATGCAAATGAATGCAAACAAATTATCAAAGTAAGATAGAAAATTGCAAAATTAAAACGAAAATATATTGGACTTTAAAGCGTTTTTTTACCGAGAAACTCAAAATTTGGTAAATTTTGTAAAACATGGCGAGAAATTGCAAAAGTAGTTTTTAATTCACAAATGAGGAAATAATTAATAAATTTAGAGCGTTTTTCATAGAGAAAAATCACTGAAATCGTTAGTTTTTACTATCAAAAGTTACATATTTTGAAAAAAATTTTATTGAAAAGGATACAAAATTTGGAAAATTTTGCTAAAACAAGACAGAAATTTTAAAAATTTGTTTCGGTTATTTCGACAAATTTTGCGCATTTTTACTGAGAATAACTTAAAAATATTTAATAAAATACCAAGTAATAATATTGCAAAATTAGATTGCAATTATGTTTATTCTGTAAGAATTAGAATTTTTTGTAGGAAATTTAATTCTAGATAACTTTCTTCCCTACACTTTTTTTGTATCTTCAACCGTATTCGCAGTGTTCTCAAAAATATCAAAACATGAAACGGAGCACAGATTTTAAATTTTAAATATTTTTTTTCTCATATTATTAAGAATGTGAAACTCAACATTTTTGCATTTTACAAAAACCGAGCAATTTTGTATCTCATTTCGCTCCTAGTATGTAGTTGTCCGTAGTTTTTTTTATTTGCAACAGACCGCAAAACCGAACTTGGCTCGAGAAATAATAGCATTAATTAGTTTGCAATTTGTGTCTTACCTCGCAGAACTTTGCGCCGTAACGAGGAGGTGGGGAGTCACAAAAACGATAACGACTCCGTGTGCCCCCAATGCAGGTGCTTGAACAAGGCGTCCAAGGGCTCCAAGGGCCCCAACCCCCACTTTCATTCTCTGGAAAACACAAATTTTTAAACGAAAGCTTGTAACTCCTCTTTTTGACTAATTTCTTGTGAAATTCGTATTGTTTTGTGGAAAAAATAAAACTTGCAAGGAATGCTCTTAATATTTATTTGAGAATGTAATTGCGGAATTGTTTTCTGCCTCAGGAGAAAGCAAATTTCGCACTAACAACACACATCTTCGATTTAAAACTGAATTAAGGTGATGTTCTATCGAATAACAAAGTTAAACGGAGGGAAGATGAGGTAAAAAGGGAGCAAAGTATGCATAAGAACCCTTTGACTCTGCATCAGCCTCCAACTCAAAGCATTCCGATGGTTTTACTTCTTTTTATTCCTAGTTTATGCAAGAATTTTGAACTCATTCTCTCTAAAAACATGATGAATTATTTCAATTCAATTGAAAAATATGTTGAATTGTTTATCAGAAATCAATTCAAGCTGTCTGGAAAAGCAGCTAATAATTTATATTTTTCATTAATTATTATTACTGATAAATGAATTTGTGTTTATTTCATAACGAGGGTCAAAATGTGATGCTGTTATGAGGAATATAAATTATTAACGCAGTTTTTTTATATAAATTAATTTCAGTGATTTATTATTTATTTTAAATATTTCTATTAAGTAATGGATCACCAAAATACTGGCGTAATTAAAGGTTTTCGAATAAATTTATTACAAAATTTGAGAATTTTTTGAAAACAAAGCAAAAAATTGCCAAATTGTTTCGAGAATACCATTTTACTTAATAAATGCAAAAAAATGTCAAAATAGAATAGAAAATTGCAAAATTAGAACTAAAATTGTGTTGAATTTTAAAGCGTTTTACACCGAGGAACTTAAAATTTGAGAAATTTTGCAAAACAGCGAAAAATTGCAAAATTAGCTTTAAAATGTCATTAACAGATTATTTATTGTTTTTGTTTATTTTTCGAATTTAGAGTATTTTTACAAAACCTCAAAATTGCAAAATTAAGTCAAAA